GGGGCGGGACGCGGAGGACGAGGCTGCCTGCTAGGTTAAGCCATCCTTGGTTTCCTGACAGTGGGTTTGGATTTTCATTGCCCACCTCCCTGCCTCTCCATCCGTACTTCTTCTATTAGTGTGTGTTTTCTTTAAGCAACACGAATTATTTTTTCTATTCTCTAATGCTTATTCACTGTAAAGACAAATTGGAAAACACAGAAAGCCTAATGAAGAAATTAATAAAACAACTTTAATCTCGTTAGAGATTAGAGACAAGCACATATTTAAAGCATGTCTTCTAGTGTTTTCTTCCTGTACATAAACATTGTATACTAAGATAAGTATCTATTTAAACAAACTGGACAACAGTGTTAGAGCATCCAGGCATGCTGCTGAACTGACCCTGCTGAAGACAGAGAGGACGCTGGGAGTAGCATTTCCCTGCCCTTAAAACGGGGCCCGCCTGACTCTTGGTTTGATAAACTAATTATTCTAAGTCCCCAAGGAAGCCTGTTTTTTCTTCCTCAGCTGAGAGGGTCACAGGTAAAGTTACCCCTTTAATGGGGGGAGGTAGGTAGCGGTGGTAGATCTGGGGAGGAAAGAAAACTTGGTCTTGATGTTTGCTTTAAATAACCAGAAGATTCCAAGAGTAATTCTCTGGGTGGAGGAGTGCAGCCCCATCCCCGCACACTTCTCGGTTTGCTCAAGTGCGTGGATCTTCCGCCTCCCTCTAGGCTGTGAGTTCTCTGCAGCAGGAATATCCTTCGGGGCCTTTGCATCTTGTTCCTCCACCTGGCAGAGTGCTGTCCTCTCTTTGGTCAGTGTCTTTGTCCACACACACTCTTTTATATGCTAGTGTTACTAGTTTGCCGCATGAAAACAGCCTGCTGATTTGCACATTCAGAGTCAAGACAATACCTCCCTCCCCGCTTCCTTCCAGCTAGATTGGGACACCTAAGCAAGACCCTTCTTCATGTAAATTCTGAAGTTGCCCCTCTCTGCAGAGTGTAGTTAGATTTTGGATCACCGTCATCGATTTGGGAGTGGCAGATCATTTCATAGTTTACAGGTGGCATCCTGGGCTGTCCTCTGGCCACCTGCAGCCTGGTGGAGGCTGAGGCAGAGAGAAGAGACTGGACAAAAAGACCTTCTTGTGGAGGCGCAAAGCCAAATCCTCCAGCCTTTCTATCCCTAGGAATTGAAACAATATCTCCAGTGAGAGCTGCATGGCTGAGCCACACTTAGTAGATTTTCCCCCATGGAAAGAGGAGAAAGGGCTGAAACCCCCTTCAAGTTCTGCTTGGGTGAAAATAAAGACTTGGGAAAGTTAGAGCCAGCCCCTGGCTGACACTGCTGAGACTGGCGGACCAAGCCTGGTACAACCACTTTGCCTTTCCCATGGAATCAGCTGTGAGGCAGGAAGTCTGTGGTGCTCTTAGGCTACTTGTTAGCTATGTGCTTCTGAGTAAATTGCTCAACCTTGCCCAAGCTGTTTGTTCATCTCCATAAGGGAATAATGATATTTACCTGAAGGTCATGCTTTCACCATTGTTGTGAGATTAAAATGAGCTGGAAAGAGGAGAGAGGTTGTCTTGAAGCTGCATTTGCAAACTTTCTAACCTTGCAAGTGTTACATCTCCTTATGTTGATTCTCCTACATGGATGCTGAAGCCTTCAAACAGAGGACCTGCAAATTCTTGGGCTCAAGAGATCCTCTTGTCTCAACCTCCAGAGTAGCTGGGACTATAGTTACCCACCACAATCCCAGCTAGTTTTTCTATTTGTATTAGAGACAGGGTCCTTCTTGCTGAGACTGGTCTCAAACTCCTGAGCTCAAACAATCCACCTGCTTTAGCCTCCCACAGTGCTAGGATTATAGGCATGTGCCACCATACTTGGCCTTCACATTTGCTTTTAAAACGTCAGTGGTATCTAAGTCTTTGCCTTCTGCTTCTTATTCTATGACCTGGCTCTCCTTGTGACCTCATGTATGCCCACAGCTCCATAGCTACTTCTGTGTTGGCTCTCAGATCTCAGTATCTAGCTTGCACCTCTCTGTCAAGCTACAAATCCATACATGGGTTGGACACATGAACTTGGATGCCTCAAGTTGGATCCTAATTTCAACATGTCCAGAACAAATCATTATCCTTGGGTCAGGGGTCTTAATGATTCACTAGAAAGACTCACAGGACTCAGAAAAGCTGTGATGCTTGTGGTCATGATTTATTACAGCAAAAAGATACAGATTAAAGTCAACACAAAGAATAGGCACACTGGCCTAGGAGAAACCAAGCACAGTTTCCAGGTGTCCTCTCCTAGTGGAGTCACAACAGTATGTGACAGTACGTGTGAAGTGTTACCACAGGAGTTCACCCAAGTCATGGCGTTCAGGGTTTTTATTGGAGGTCAGTCAGGTAGGAGGTATCCAGTGCCCACCAATGTCAGTAACCTTAGCTACTCAAACTCCAGCCCCACAGCCCAAAAAGGCATTCATCATAAATCACGGTTAGGATAGATGCAGCTGATCACACGGTACCACCTGGTAAGGCCTCAGGCTTACAACAAAGGCACTCAGCAGGCAGAGGACACCAAGGCTTGGGGCATTTCCCTGAAGCCGGACAGGGCCAGTCCTGAAGACAGACCTTTGCTGAGAGTACTGTGCAGACGAATCCTCCAAAGGTCTGCAGAATCCTCCAATCCTCTGCCTTAAACCCTGTCATCCACCACTGCCTGAGTTGGAAATAAGCCTCGATTGTTCTTCTTAACCCCAGCATCAGTCATACTCCACCTACAAGCCCAGCCTCGCCTCTCAGTCGCTTACTTGGATCACTGGGAGCTGCCTCATCTCCATTTCACGCTCCTTCCAGCAGCTCTCCATGCTGCTTCCATCTGAAAACCAGAGTGTGATACATGCCGTAAGAGAAGGATACAGTGTTAAGGTGTTTGTAATAAGTGCTTTAATAGAGGAATACTCAGGGCGCTATGACTAGGAGAGGAACATAGCATCACCAAGCCTTCAGGGGAAAGTCATAAGGTCTTGAATCTAAGACCCTGTTAGCCTGGCCCATCTACTCTTTCAGTCTGGCCATGCAGAACCATTTGTAGTTTCCCTAAAGGTCTTGGGTTTTCACACTCTGATCTTGAATATTCTGTCACCTCTACCTGGACTGTTCACTCTAGTATTTTATTGAACAGTCCTAAGCACTGCAACGCTGTGGAATAAGTTGGAAATTTAGGGATCAGAAGATAAGGGTTAAGGTCTGGTCTTATCACTTACTAGTTATGAGACCTTGGGTTTGTCATTTGAGTCTGTTATCAACTCCCTAAAAATAGGAGGTGTTCTCTTTCACAGGGTCACTGAATCAAA